ATGTGACTAAAGTGTTAGCATCATGTGACTTAAGTGTTAGCATCATGTGACTGAAGCGTTAGCATCATGTGACTAAAGTGTTAGCATGATGTGACTAAAGTGTTAGCATCATGTGACTAAAGTGTTAGCATCATGTGACTGAAGCGTTAGCATGATGTGACTAAAGTGTTAGCATCATGTGACTAAAGTGTTAGCATCATGTGACTAAAGTGTTAGCATCATGTGACTGAAGTGTTAGCATCATGTGACTTAAGTGTTAGCATCATGTGACTAAAGTGTTAGCATCATGTGACTGAAGTGTTAGCATCATGTGACTGAAGCGTTAGCATCATGTGACTAAAGTGTTAGCATCATGTGACTGAAGTGTTAGCATCATGTGACTAAAGTGTTAGCATCATGTGACTAAAGTGTTAGCATCATGTGACTAAAGTGTTAGCATCATGTGACTTAAGTGTTAGCATCATGTGACTGAAGTGTTAGCATCATGTGACTGAAGTGTTAGCATCATGTGACTGAAGTGTTAGCATCATGTGACTGAAGTGTTAGCATCATGTGACTGAAGCGTTAGCATCATGTGACTGAAGTGTTAGCATCATGTGACTGAAGTGTTAGCATCATGTGACTGAAGTGTTAGCATCATGTGACTGAAGCGTTAGCATCATGTGACTTAAGTGTTAGCATCATGTGACTGAAGTGTTAGCATCATGTGACTGAAGCGTTAGCATCATGTGACTGAAGTGTTAGCATCATGTGACTGAAGTGTTAGCATCATGTGACTGAAGTGTTAGCATCATGTGACTGAAGTGTTAGCATCATGTGACTGAAGTGTTAGCATCATGTGACTGAAGTGTTAGCATCATGTGACTAAAGTGTTAGCATCATGTGACTGAAGTGTTAGCATCATGTGACTGAAGCGTTAGCATCATGTGACTAAAGTGTTAGCATCATGTGACTGAAGTGTTAGCATCATGTGACTGAAGTGTTAGCATCATGTGACTGAAGCGTTAGCATCATGTGACTAAAGTGTTAGCATCATGTGACTGAAGTGTTAGCATCATGTGACTGAAGTGTTAGCATCATGTGACTGAAGTGTTAGCATCATGTGACTAAAGTGTTAGCATCATGTGACTGAAGTGTTAGCATCATGTGACTGAAGTGTTAGCATCATGTGACTGAAGCGTTAGCATCATGTGACTAAAGTGTTAGCATCATGTGACTGAAGTGTTAGCATCATGTGACTGAAGTGTTAGCATCATGTGACTGAAGTGTTAGCATCATGTGACTGAAGTGTTAGCATCATGTGACTGAAGTGTTAGCATCATGTGACTGAAAGCATCATGTGACAAGTGTTAGCATCATGTGACTGAAGTGTTAGCATCATGTGACTGAAGTGTTAGCATCATGTGATGAGTGTTAGCATCATGTGACTGAAGTGTTAGCATCATGTGACTGAAGTGTTAGCATCATGTGACTGAAGTGTTAGCATCATGTGACTGAAGTGTTAGCATCATGTGACTAAGTGTTAGCATCATGTGACTAAAGTGTTAGCATCATGTGACTAAAGTGTTAGCATCATGTGACTGAAGTGTTAGCATCATGTGACTAAGTGTTAGCATCATGTGACTAAAGTGTTAGCATCATGTGACTGAAGTGTTAGCATCATGTGACTGAAGTGTTAGCATCATGTGACTGAAGTGTTAGCATCATGTGACTGAAGTGTTAGCATCATGTGACTGAAGTGTTAGCATCATGTGACTGAAGTGTTAGCATCATGTGACTGAAGTGTTAGCATCATGTGACTAAAGTGTTAGCATCATGTGACTGAAGTGTTAGCATCATGTGACTGAAGTGTTAGCATCATGTGACTGAAGCGTTAGCATCATGTGACTGAAGTGTTAGCATCATGTGACTGAAGTGTTAGCATCATGTGACTAAGTGTTAGCATCATGTGACTGAAGTGTTAGCATCATGTGACTAAGTGTTAGCATCATGTGACTAAGTGTTAGCATCATGTGACTTGTTAGCATCATGTGACTAAAGTGTTAGCATCATGTGACTAAGTGTTAGCATCATGTGACTGAAGTGTTAGCATCATGTGACTGAAGTGTTAGCATCATGTGACTAAAGTGTTAGCATCATGTGACTGAGCATCATGTGACTAAGTGTTAGCATCATGTGACTGAAGTGTTAGCATCATGTGACTGAAGTGTTAGCATCATGTGACTAAGTGTTAGCATCATGTGACTGAAGTTTAGCATCATGTGACTGAAGTGTTAGCATCATGTGACTAAAGTGTTAGCATCATGTGACAAGTGTACTGAAGGTTAGCATCATGTGACTGAAGTGTTAGCATCATGTGACTGAAGTGTTAGCATCATGTGACTGAAGCGTTAGCATCATGTGACTTAAGTGTTAGCATCATGTGACTGAAGCGTTAGCATCATGTGACTAAAGTGTTAGCATCATGTGACTAAAGTGTTAGCATCATGTGACTAAAATG